TTAAGAATGAAATTCTTGGTTCATTGAATCAATCTCGAAGTGGGAGATTGTTGGGATATGGAGCCCGATGCCTATTTATAGTAAAAGATCGGGTAGAGATATAGTAGATATTTCATAAATATATGATAGAGATCTCAACAACTACCCCACTCACAAAATTTACTTTCTTCATTCTCTGTATTCTCTCTTAGTGTACATACCTGAAATCATCAATAAAACCTTCAGCCAATATTCCTCCTTGAATTTTCTGTCTCTTGTTCTCTATGTTCATCTTGATCGACTGTGTCCGTTGTTGAGTGATCTTAACATTCGTGGCTATGAAGACAAAGAGGAGAAGAAACACTTCTTACTCATACATGAGGAGTGGCTCGCACAGACGAAAAAAAATGATGTGGTTGACTTTACTTCTTCAAGTACTAAGGGATGTGGCAGCCATAACAAGGAAAATAGAGGTCGTGAACGTGTCCGCATACGTGGTGGCAGAGGATGATGTCTTTTCACCGAGGAAATCGATGTTGGTGAGAGGAAATCGTCGACGGAGGAAAAACAGCCGAAGAAAATTTGTTGGCGTAAGAAAAGAACGAAGAGAACAAAAGCTTGGGATTTGACTTTGCTGAAAAACACGGTATGAATGTTTTTCAATTAATTAGACTATTTAAAATAAACTAAATTCTAAAAATGGCCGAAGTGGCTAACAAATCTTGCGCCCAAAGATTGCCCAAATCCCTAGCTAAAAAGAAGCTATTCCATTGTAGGTGTGTGCGTCAATTCAGATGGCCTAAAAACAAGATTCAACTAACTAATTTTAAGGAAAACATGAAAAAAAAACCAAATAAAGAAAACCGCAGGCTTTTATCTAACAGAGGAGGTCGGGACATTACCCTACAAACTCATGACAATGTCAACCCCTAGACGGACAAGAGTATGATCAAGTGTTACTCTTGTGCAACATGTGGGCACTATGTGGTAGATTGTCGCAAGAAGAAGCGAGAGCTTGCATTAATGTTGGCTGATAAGATGCCCAACCTATTGATGCTCAACGAAGAGAAGGTTATGGTCATTCTCACAAAAGTAGTAGACCAAGTGGAGATCAACAATTGGTACCTTGACAACGAAGCAAGCAACCACATGACCGTAGATCGAACAAAGTTCAAGGAGATTGATGAAAAAGTCATTGAAAATGTGAAGTTTGGTGATGGTTGAATTGCATATATCCAAGGCAAAGGACCCATCTTATTCTCGTGCAAGAACGACGACCAACGTCTACTAACCAAGGTATATTTTATCCCAAGCTTGAAGAGTAATATTATCATTCTTGGTCAGATGACAGAAGAAGGAAGCAAAGTGAAGTTAGCTGGCTCGTTCCTCAAGATGTTTGACAGAAACGAAACTTCGTTAATGAATGTAAAATGAGGGCATAGCCGCCGGTACAAGATACAATTGGAGACTAGCCTGCCCACCTCTCTATTGACGACATTTGTAAACCTAGCTTGACTATGACATGCAAGACTTGGACACGTGAACTTTCAGGCAATCAAAATGATGAGAGAGAAGAAGATGGCTACGTGGCTACCCGAAATCATACACCCGAATCAACTATCTGAAAGTTGCCTAGTCTCTAAACAAGCAAGATTGTCATTTTCAGCTCAAACCCAGCTCTTTCCACACCTCCGGATATCTGGTGCTAAATCGTGCTAAGCAACCACTGCAACTGGTTCATGCAAGTGTAGCCCGATCACCCCATCATCGATTACTTGTAACAAGTATTTTCTCTTACTGATAACAAGTATTTTCTCTTACTTGTTGACAATTTTAGCTGTTGGGTGTGGATGTACATGCTCAAAGAGGAAGAAGAGGCAATATGTGGTTCAAGAAGTTCAAAAGACTCATTGAAAATGGGTCAAATCACAAGTTGAAAACCTTGTGCACTACTCGAGGTGGCGCTTATCCCAAAATTTCTCAAATTTTTGGGAAAAAGAAGAGTCAAGCGTCACCTCACTGCACAGTACACTCCACAACAAAACGGTGTGGTCGAACAAAGAAATCACACCATAATGAACACTGCAAGAAGCTTACACTAGAGCGTAGAAGTCTTGATGATTTTCTGGGGCGAGGCAATACGACATGCGATTTATCTTCTAAAACGTTTACCAACAAAGGCGTTGGACAGTCGCACTCCCTACGTAGCATTGTTTGGAAAGACACCTCACTTCAAGTACCTAAGAGTCTTTAGTTGTATTGCACATGTTAAGACAGCAAGGTCGAGTTAATGGCAACAATTATTGCATAATGTTAAGCGTTGTGGCTGAGAAATTTGTTGAGCGAAGTGACTTGAAGGAAACTAAAACCGGTAACTCTTTATGTCAACATATCTCTGCGATTGCACTGATAAAGAATCCAATATTTCACGGATGCAGCAAACACATTGATACTTGCTTCCACTTCATCCGTGAGAGTGTTGAGAGAAGAGAAATCGTTGTAGAGTTCGTATGCATTAGAGAGCAACATGCATATATTCTAACCAAGGGTCTAAGAAGGGTTAAGTTTGCAGAGATGCGGGAATTTCTGGGAGTGAAGAATCTCGAACAAATCAAGTTTACGGAGGAGATTATGAGCTAATAAACTTGAGCTAGCAGAACAACTCACTAACTTATGTAGTAACTTTAAGAGATTTGTTAATAGACTTAGTATAACAAGTTATTAACTTATGGAGTAACTTGGGAGAATTGTTAGTAGACTTAGTAGAATAAGTTATTAACTTATGGAGCAACTATAGGAGAATTGCTAGTAGTTGCCAAATTGTGGACCAAATTTTGTGCTTTAATTAGAAAGATTCTTAGTGGTTCTTAACTTCTGGAGAAAGTTTAGTTTCTTAGTGGTTCTTAACTTCTGGAGAAAGTTTAGAAAGCTAGTTTGTGCTTTCTTTACTATAAAAACTAATAAGATGTATGCTCATTTCACTAATACAACAACAAAGAGAATTGAAAAGTCAAGTGCTTAAGGTTACTTTGTTCCAAAAGATCTCTCCTCAAGTTTCTCCTTTCCTTTTTTTACTTGTTTCAAAATATTTCGATCAAATGCCACGAGGTAAATACAAAATAGTACTCAATCTCCATGTCTCTCAACCATCCAATACAATCCTTTACATAGGTATAGAAACATTAATGTTCATACATGAATCATATTATTTCATGTATCAATGTGCGGGAATGTATCATATGGAAGATTTACCAAATGAATCCTAATAGGTGCTGGAATAGAGGAAGGGAATTAACAAAAAAATGTTCAGGATTTTGGAACTGATTCTTCGTGACAATTCAGAACAATCTCCACATTGTTAGAAGATTTCCAAGCAGATAACTGGTTTGACTGCCACCACATCAACAAACTACTTCTTTTGTCCAACATTGATTAGATCTAAGCAATGTCAGAACTTTTCATGAGCAAACACCTTTATCAACATATCCGTAGGATTATCACTAATTCCAATTTTCAATAAACGAATGTCTCATTCATTGATAATTTCTCGAATAAAATGAAATCGAATATCAATATGCTTGGTACGAACATGATGGATTTGGTTCTTTGATAAACAAATAGCACTCTAGCTATCACAAAACACTTCTATGAGTTCTTGAGCAATACCTAAGTCATCAATAAAACCATGCATCCATTGATTCTTGAAAAGTTTTCGTAAGTGTCATGTACTTTGCTTCAGTGGTATACAATGCAATAGTAGACTGCAATATTGAATGCCAACAAACAAGTCCACTAGCCTTAGTGAACAGATAACCAAACTAGTGAAGCTAGGTGACAACTCAACCTTAGTTGTGATGGGCAAAAGAAATGTAAAGTTTAAAGTAAATGTGACTGTGCAAGTAATCACCGAGGTATTTTATGTACCAAACTTGAAAGATAACTTGCTGAGCATTGGATAGCGGCAAGAAAAAGGTCTTGCATTTCTTATACAAAAAGAAGGATGTAGAATTTATCATCTTAAGAGAGGGTTGATTGTAAAGACTTTAATAATATCAAATAATGTTTACTCTATTTTTTCAATCTCTACCAAAGGAACAATCTTGCTTCAATGCTATTACAGAAGATCCCGCAAGAACATGGGATTGTCGATATGGGCATCTAAGTTATGGAGGACTGAAGACACTTCAAGAGAAGGACATGGTGCAAGGATTGCCAGTCCTTAAAGTATCCTCAAAGATGTGAAGTTTGAGGACGAAAATGGCTGAGATTGGCATAAAACACATCAAGAAGATGTTACAGTTGATCTAGAATTGAGCAATGATACCTGCAATGAAGTTGAAAGCTCGGAGGATGAAGCACACAATGATGATTCATGTGAGTCAGCACAAGAACACTCATTTGCTGATGCTGAAGAACGAATTAGGAAGCCACCAAGATGGATGGATGATTATGAAAATGGTGAAGGTTTTTCTGAAGACGAAAATATTACATATCGAGACTTTTTTCCAGGAGGTGATCCTATTCATTACACACTAGCCTCTAAAGCTCTAAATAGAGGAAAGCTAGGGATGCAGAAATAGAAAACATCCAAAGAAACTATACTTGGAAATTTAAGACATCATGACCAAACCTAAAACTTGATGTTTTTCTAAAGATGCGTGATATGTTAATAGTTTGATTATGGTCAAGTATAAACTAATGTTGTTAGCATTCAGTTCAAGGGAGGATGTTAAAAGATTTAGCTTGTGATACTCTTGCTTAAGTTGTAATTTGATTTGATTCGTTAGTTAGCTGTCACTGTTTATTTGCTAACTTTCTCTTTTCAGTTGCTTTGTAATGCTCTATTTATACAGCTGTTTCAGTTTGCAGTTGCATTGTAAAGCTATTTATACAGCTGTTTCGGCTGATCACAGGAGAACTTTAATTTAATTAGAATATGTTGTTGATTTTATTGCTGAGAGAAAAAATATTGATGATTTGAGGTGAGAATCAGGGCAATCATTATAAGACTACAAATAAAAACTTTTGAGATGTGGGCTTAAAAAGATAATATATCTTGTGGAGGGTGATCCCAATTTCGAAGATGATTCCAATTCATCCCTATATTCCGATCTTTGTCACTCTTTTTCTGTTCTTCCTCTTTTCCTACTCCCGTTGATATCATGTTAAGAATGAGAAACAGAACTGAGATTGAAAGTCCAATCTTGCTGATACCATGTTAAGAATGAGACATAGAACTCGGATTGAAAATCCAATCTTTCGTAAGTCCAAACTTCATTAATATTCACAACCTCTGACTAAATCCTAAAAATAAGACAAAATATTATCCAAACTAATTTTTAAAAATAAGATAAAATATACTATTGATCAAAATAAGGAAAAAAATACTAACCATTACATCTAACTTTATATCTTACATCTAATTTCATAATAGAGACATAATTTAAATATATATAATTTCTTATTAGTCAATTATATTTGGTATTCATTTATAGAAAATTAGTAGAGCATTTGAAACAAGTTACGATAAAAACATTAAATTTAGAAAGAAACATAAGTAATGTAGGGTTGACAAACCTTCCTAAGTGACGTTTCTTGTAAAATTCATTTATAAAATTTGTGGCTATTTCCTCGCTATGATGATCGGCAATCGGACAGTTAGGGTATTGGTCGCTCCGCCAACCTTTCTTTGGCCTCGACTCCTCATCGTCGTAAAAGCTTCTTTTTGTAGCACTTTGAGCTTTGGATTTGAAGCATTTCGCTCCCATGGTGCTATGAATAATGTAATATGGTGACAAATAAGGAGATAATGCAAAATGAAATGATCTTTAAGGGATGATTTAAATGATGGTTTGTGGGGCTTAATTAGTTTTCATACTTTGATACCAAAAATGCTCCACTCCTTTCTCCTCTGTTGCTTTACATTCTTCTTTCTTCCTTGCATTTCATTTACGATTCTTTGACGGTGCTCGTCAACACAAAATTTGATCTAGCAACGAACTATCAATTGAAGATTTTATTACTCTGTGGGACCTCATGCATGTTACGTTTTCATTTCAGTCATTCGTCAATTTTATTATATTATTGTGTGTCCCTTTATTTTTCATGGTTTTGGTATGTGTGACTACGTATATGCCCATAGTTAAGCCTAAGAACAAATGATACTCGCTCGATGAATTCGTATGTTTATATTTGGGTCGTGTGTTATAAAGTAAATGCATATCCAATTTATTTCGGAATAGAATTCTAGCATCCACGAGTTATCGTGAATTTACATGAAATAGAAGTAGTACACGACTTGAGTATTTTAAGAAATACTTAGTAACTGACGCCATGATTGGGGGTTAGGGAAGATGAACACATGGAACTCACGATTAGGGACCTATTATTAAAACCATCATAAGGGTGGCCTCCAATCTAGATAAATTTGGATGTGTAGTACTTCCCTACACACGACTCACACGTGTGAGTGTGATCCCCTATCAGTTTGCACCTCTGGACCCATCATAGTCGAGCTAACTGTCCGTAGTGACGTTTGAAGAACAATAGACCGCGGGCATTAGTTGGGAGATTAATTAAATAAAAAGAAATTAAGTACAACAAAAATAAGAAAAAAGCACATCGACAAGATTGCTTGGAATCTCCTATTTGATTGGTGGCTCTTTCAACTTTCCTCAAGACTATCAAGTCTTTGTTTTTTTAAACTGGAGGCGTTGGGGAACAAGTTTGGTAGTTTGATGACAAGTCAAAAGTTGTTAACTTACAAAGGCTTCGTTCCAATGTTAGTGGAGAATTCAAATGTATAGAAAATTACAAAAAGTAGGAATATTAATAACTTTTTTGTTCCAATGTTTGTGCATGGTTTTTGGTTAAGGTTGCTTTAATATCATCAATAAGAACCTTATTTTGCTAACACTTTAGCATTTTATGTGGTTCATATTCCCTAACAATTGACCCAATTGAAATAAAATGTCTTTTTGTTGTGCTCTCTATGCCACAAATATTGGCCATTTTTTCTTCTTTTGATTTGCTTTTAATTAAAAAACGTTATCATATTCGCGATTCAAGATTTTTTTTCTTTTTTAAATGGTCGGCTCCAAATATTAAAAGTATAAAGTCAATGTATACGATATCCCACATTGGTTGGGGAGGAGAACGAGACACCCTTTATAAGGGTGTGGAAACCATTCCTTAACTGACGTGTTTTAAAGCTTTGAGAGAAAGCCGAAAGAAGAGGACAATATATCTACTAGCGGTATACTTGGGTATTTACAATACAAAACTGTTGAAATATCATCACTACTCTAATAGAGTCAACACCAATAAAGATATCCAAATATTTTAGGAAAAAGTTTAATAAAAATATTGAGTATTTTTACCTAAATTATCTAGTGGTAATATAAATATGCCTCCATCTTATCTAGTTTTAATCCAACATAGAAATACAAAGTATAGAATGCAGTAGTTTGTACATAGTGTCTTATAATCTCTTCTCGATTGATGTTGAGGAAGAGTGTAAACTATTTTTTCACGTAGAGTTGTTTTCAACGAAAACTACTTTTTAACTGTCTACTTTTATCATTATTATATTATAAAGATATAAAACATCATGGATGTTCGATCCATAAATATAATTTAGACTTCATCTATTCATAATAGAAAATATTATTTTTATAACAATTGTAACGTCCTTACATTATAAACAAGATCAAATCGTTATTTATCTGGAATTCTAAGGAACAATGTAAAACCATTCCTCACTAAATTCAAATACAAAAACAATGCTAATGGATTTAAATGTTAAAACAATACTAAAACACGAGTGTATTATGGCTCTTACATCCGACTCAATTTTTAAGGTTTCAAAGGTAGAATACACTTTAAAAAAAGGCCAAAGGGAAGAAAATAAAATAAGAGTAAAATAAAATATAATACCAAATTTTGAAATATTTTGTACAATTTAAAACAAATGACACTAGAATAAATGAAACGTCATGGTCAAAAGTTGCTTGAAAAAAAATGAAGAATGTAAAGTCGCTACCGTCGTCATATTATATGCTTTTTATGCAAAATCAAACCTTTAAAATGTCATTGTAAATGATAAACTTCATCTTAAAATTTAACATGAACTTAAAAACACTACCATTGTCTTACATGTTTGAAAACATAATTAAAAAATATGATAAAACAACAATAATAAATAAAGTAAAACATTAAATTCAAAGTGACCTATACTAATCTAAGTCTAACAATTTAAAATGCTACAGGCATATGCATGTGCCTTGGTCTTTGATTACAATGCCGTTGTCATCCATATAAGGGTGTCTTGTCTTTACGCACACAGCTTGAGTATTTTAAGAAATACTTTGTAAGTGACTCCACTAATCGGATTGAAAAATGCAAACCCCATGCAATTTATGCTTTAGGGACCTATGATAAAACCATCATCGGGAGGCATCCAGTCTAGACAACATTGGATGTGTAGTACTTCCCTACACACGACCCACACGTGCAAGCGTGAATCCCCGGGCGGTTCGCACCTTAAAATACCTAAACTATTTTCATAAAATGAATATACAATTGGCTCATAATATTATTGAACTTGACCTTACTAGGCTAGTGATGATATTATACTATTAAGTTCTTAGTGCATATAAGATACTTAAATGAAGAATATCTTCCAAGACACTTTGTACTAATTTCTTGAGTTTTCTTCGTTTTGGAGCACTAAGGTCTAGACCTCTAATCGCCACTTACGATCCTAAGGTACTTGACCTACAAGAGGCATCATGCACTAGGTTATCATTTAACCGTCCATGTAGTCCTTAGGTCAAATGTGAGGAAGTGACCCCCGGCAAGACCATGCAAATACTCTTAGCAAGTCTCTTAATCATCCCTACAATGTCACAACATCCAACCGTACGATATTGATCATTAGTCATAAAATAATGTCGTATAGTGCATAACCTGAACCCTTATCATGCTCATGTTTCACCTACTTGGCATGGTATGTAGCATGTACAAATTAGCTACACAGCTACATTGTTGTTTCTCATGATCTCAAAATTATGAAGAGTGGTGCCAACCTCATTATTTCTCATGATTTTAGATTTAGAAATGACAATAACCTTATTCTCTCTCATAGTCTCAAACAAGTTCTCAAAACTACAAAGAGTAGAGAAAACCTTACCGCTCCTCATAATCTTCAAACTACAAGATTGTTTCTCATGGTCTTAGAATTACAAAGAGTGGCGACAAACTTGTTTTTCACTATCTCAAACCTGGTGTCAAAACTACACAGAATTACAATAACCTTACTATTTATCACTATCACAAACTTGGTCTCTAAACACAAAAAGTGGCAACAACCTTATTCCTCATGCTATAAATGAGTTGTATGAATGAGACAAATAATCCAATCAAGTACCATTCATAGAGAAGAAAATCTCTACCATATTATAAAATAATATTAAGTTCATGAAATAAAATAAAATATTAATTTATTAAACATAAAAGTTCCAAAGCACTCTTACCTTAGCCATAGATTAGCAATGGTATGTTTTTGTTTAAACATATAATTATCCTTAATGACCTTCAAAGGGGGAGAAATTAGAAATTAGAAATGAAATACTCAAACATTCTATATTTGGAATACTCTCAAACCCACAAATTTTAAGAGCCTTTTTAAATGTTGTGTTCTTTTCACTATATATAGGGCTTCACATTATCAGAGAAATTTGAGCACCCACCCCTTAGCAGTTGCTACTCTTCCTCATTTGTGAAAGGAGCTTGTAGCCCTACAACAACAAGACAATCCACAATGAACATGGGCAAAGGTTTCAAGCTCTTTCACACCTTTGTCTTAGTGATTGCTTGGCAATATTGTGCGAAAGTGGGTGCCACTTTTGGGGATGAAACCGGTGTCGTAAATCTCGAGCATCAATTTTCATTTCGTGCCTTTGGATCACATGACAAACAAGCACCAACTGTTGCACCAATTGGAAGTAGCACAGAAGTTTTAGTGGTAGCACCATTTGGAAGCATCGCTCAAACTCCCGAGGCTCTAACTCCGAAGGCTTCATCAACTGAAAGTAGTGCTCTAACCCCAGAGGTTGCGTCGGCTGAAAGCAGTGCTCTAACCCCGGAGGCTGCACAAGTTGGAAGCACTCAAACCACTGGAAGCACTCAAACCACAACCATTACACCAGTTGGAAGTAGCACACAAGCATGAGAGTAGCATTGATGTACATGGAGGTTTGTTTATTAAACTTAAGCCAAATTGAATCACTATTTTGTAGACAAATTCATTATTTCTATATTTGTTTCTTAAATGGAATGATTTTCCTATCTTCTTTTCTCATATTTAATTTAATTAAAGAATGATATTTTTGAAATTGAATGAAACACGGTTTCAAACTACTCAAAGACTATACCCAATAAATTTATCCCTGCATTAATACAGAATGTCACTAATACATCATTAAATTAGTTTGCAAAATTCTCTAAAATCAAACTATATTTAAATTAATAAAATTTCTCAAACTATATATAAATTAATAAAATTTATTATAATTCTATTTTTTCAATCTTGATAAATTAAATAATAATAGGTTATTATGATTCAAAACTAAGGCATCCATTCAAACACATGATTTTGCTTAGCTCCTTCTTTACCTCCACTAGCAACTGATACATTTATAATTGCGTTTAAGTCACATTTGTAATTTTTAATTGCTTTTAAGTCACATTTGTAATTGTTTTAAGGAGGACAGTTGGTTTTTTCATGTTGTCATAGTTTTTTTTTTTTTTTTTTTTTTTTTTTTTTTTTTTTTTTTTTTTTTTTTTTTTTT